ATTAATTTACGCTTTGAGGAGATAGACCAGTCCAGATTTTGCTAGAGTCCTTAATCAAGCGAAACGCAGTCGTGTTGAGTACCACAAATCAAATGTGAATCTCGAATTGGGCACTTGTAGAGAATGCCTATACACACCCACAAATCTTCAGTCGTGGCCCAAATATTCTATTTGAGGCCATTCTAGCTTTCAAACTAAAACGTATGATACCATTCTAGAAAATTCTGGAAAAATTCCGGAATAGGCCCATATTTGTGGCCGAGCTAATTTTTGTTAAAACCTCTACTGAATGCAAATTCTTGTTTTTGGCCTAAGCTTATCATTCTTTATTCGGGAACACAGTGATTGGCCGCATATGACATTATGTTAGTTGACAATATTTAGTTTGAGGAGAAGAACTGAAAATATAGCAACGAAAAACAGGTTAATCATTAAAAGTTATTTCTAAATTCCGTTTTTATTTCAGTCTGCTGTAAGCCAATGCGCTGGTCGCATTGGTTCGTTGCGGGCTGGCCCACTTGACGGGTGGGGTTACGATGGTCTGGGCTATGATGGCTTCGGTATTGGCGGCTGGAACGGCCGCGGCTGTGGAGGTCTAGGCGATGAGATAGCCGCTGCTGCGGCGCTGGGAGCCTCTCACGGCGGCACGCTCGCTGTCGTCTCAACCTCAGCCGCTCCTACCGGTCTGGGCATAGCGTCTGAGAATATTTACGAGGGTTCAGTCGGTGTCTGCGGTAACCTGCCGTTCCTGGGTACTGCTGATGTTGCGGGCGAGTTCCCAACAGCCGGGCTTGGTGGTATCTTCTATGGATGTGGGGATGGTGCTGTTGCCATCACCGCGGAGAATGGTTTTTCCGGTCTTTCTGGTTTCGGATACGCACCGGCCGCCGCTGTAGCTGCTCCCGCCTTGGCCGGTCCCACCATTGGCTACGGAACCGGAATCTCTTCCCTGGGCTACAATGGCGCTGGTCGGGGCTGTGGTTGTGGCCCAGCACCCTATGGCTACTAGTTTAATGAATGAATGATTGAATGTATTTTTTTTTAATTCTCCAATACAAATAAATAGTTTGCAAATTTAATGTTTTTTTATTGGGTAGACAATTGAAAGAATTCAAGTCTTAGTTGCGGTAAAGAGCTCACCGCGGCTCAAATCGATCATAACGTAAATATCGGTTTTTAACCTGAAGTTTATGTTTCAATTGTATGGTAATTACGGGGGTACTGGTCTTTCCCATATTCCTCTACGGGGCGGAAACATGGTGCATGAAAAGCCGCGATATCAAAAGGTTCGATGCCTTTGAAATGTGGGTGTGGCGAATACCGTGGACTGCCATGAGAACTAACGAGTCCATTCTAAAGGAGCTAAATATCCGAAAAAGGCTCTCTTCCATCGGCCGGGAACGTGTTATGAGCTTCTTCGGACACATCATGCGGTCTTCCAGACTTGAATTAGAGAAGCTCATAATTGCGGGTCGCATAGAGGGCAAGCGCGCCGTGGGCAGAGCACCAGCCTAGTCAGGTCTAGTAAGAGAAGCACTTGGTGGTAGTCTGTACCATGCGGCCCATGCCACCCATGATCGAACACAGTGGAAGAACGTCACGTGTGGTCGCGATCCTCAGTAGTGGGAGAACGATACAGAAAAAGAATTATTCCGTCAACGTGGAGGACTTGTAGGCAGACGAGCATACGGCCTACCTGATGGTGAGTGGTTACCGTCGCCCACGGACTTCTACAATGCCAGGGACAGAGCCAAGCCGCTGCCCCTTATTGCTTAGATGAATGGACGAGCTCACATCCCCTCTGGTGTTAAGTGGTTACTGGAGCCCATAGACATCTACAACGTAAATGCGCCACCCACCTTGAGATATGAGTTCTATGGTCTCAGTATAGTTAAAACGGTTACCCCACCCTTCAAACCGAAACGCATTACTGATTCACGGCAGAAATATGCGGGGTGGTGGGACCTACGCGTGCGGACTTACAAGAGGTCCTACCACCAGTAACAAGGTGGTGTGGAGTAGAGTGGTGTGGAGTCTTCAGAGTGAAAAGGGACATGTCAAAAAATATATTCCGTAACGAGCTGCTGATGAGCGCCATGTTTCCAAGTTATATAGGTTACTATTATTAAATACTATCAAATCCCTCTCCATAGAATAAAACACAAAAATAAGCGAAGATCCTTCGTGGTGGACCAAGAGCTTCTAACCGATCCGCATCATCATTATCATCAGCTTACAGCAGTCCACTGCCGGACCCAGGTCTCTCCAATTACACGCCACTAAGGACGATCCTCGGCTTTGCTCATCCAGCCCTCAACCGATCCATACGAACGAATTATCACCAAGTCTTATTTTGCACCGAGTTGAACGTAGCTGTTGTTTAGGAGCCTGTTCTTTATAAAGCATAATCCTTTGTACAGACGTGAGATTCCTCGTCAATGTGTTCAGGATTTTCAACATTTTATATACCAACTCGGCTTTACTCTCGCTAATACTCTATTACTGACCACAGAACTAATGACCCCTTAATTCCCGGAAGATTGCAGGGATGGGGCGTCAAATAAAAGGGTCTTTCTTCACAGTGACCATGGAAATGTGGTTTTCTGTATAAAGAATACCACAGGTTTCAAAGTGGAATGCAGGAATGCTTTGAGGCAGTAATAGGTAGACTTGTAGTGCCTACGCGTGCGGACTTCCAATACTAGATTAGATTTTCATACTTTTTGTTTCATATAAGCGTGTTCGGCAGACGTGGTCTGACATCTACCATACCGCACCCTATTGGATTGAAGGGAATAATCAATATTTGATGTTACTGTTAATCCGGTAAGAGCAACGCCATCTATCGTCGAATAGTAGACACGAATATCATAAGAACTAGTAAAACCGAGAACGCTCGAGGTGTACAACGCCATCTATTATCAAATAGCGGAAACTCATATCGAAAATACTCGACTTGTCAAGAATGTCCTCGATAATTCTAGGGATGTCATAACGACTATAAAAGCGTTGCAGAGATGACACGAAGGCAGTTAGTAATCGGATCTACTCGAAGCGAAACAGCGAACGAATCACCTGAAGTGAAGCGGAAGAAGTGAATTACGAAGTGTAAAGTATTAAATAGAGCTTTAATTTTTACTTTGGTGGAACTTTTATTTATCTCGAATCTCAGCGCGTAGCATTACAATATTAACTCCGGCTTCGAGACTGACTGACTCGGTGGTGCTGTAGTTAGAGTCAACCCCTGACTGTTGCACCAAGGGTTCATCTACACATTGGGCAAACATTGTGTGATGAGCAAGTTTGTTTGCTCTTTGTCTGGGTATTTAATATCTAATAGGCTGGGACAAAAGTTTCTTCGCATTTTCTAAGAAAATTCACAACATTTTTTAATATAGTTTATTTACATTTAACTAAAGTATGTAGGTACCATTTTGTTCGATAACTTTTTACCATCTTGTAGGTAGGGACATGATCCCATTGCTATAGAAATTTTGGGGCTTTTGATCAAAATACCACGACAATTGGTTTTGGCAGTCCTCTCGTGATGTTAACCGACACTGCCTAAAGAATTCTGAAGAGACCGAAACAGGAGGAAATCTGAAGGTGCAAGGTCAGGACTATACGGCGGATCCACTTCGATAAAGCGGCACGACACGAGAACCCTCTCATCGTGGCCGCCGGTAACTACATTCCCGATCCTGCGGAAAGAATGGAAAGCAGTCGACGTCGCCCCAAGCACGTCATTTCGGATCCTCCCACTAACGGTGCTTTTAGGTACCTCAAGCACCGGTCACCATTCTCGTCGAACCCGTTAACCCTCAGACACAGCCCACTGAGTTTCTCGCCGGATCTTCTCAGTGGGTCTTTTTTCCGATCCGGTGGTAGATTCTGCGAAGCACGGCTCTTGCTAGGATTCGTGTTAGCAACGACGTCAGGGAAAAAAAAAACGGCGGATGTTTTAACACCTCCCAGCCAAGCTCTCTTAATTTTTATTTGCTGAGTGCTTTTTGCTTTAAACTTTTAATGATACCAAAACCAGCCAGATTAAAATAGTATAGCCAAAGAGATTTTATTACAAGTTCATACTATAATTCGAAAATACTTTTTCCCCAACCTATTATATATGAGTATATTTAAACGTATATAAGTATGCGTGTTAGTGTCTGGTACCATAACACAGGGAATCTTAATTTAGGGCCGAATGACCGTGCGGGATTCATTCCTAGTTATTTATTTATTATTACTTTTACAGTCAAATCTCGGAAGACGCCTAAAATGTTGTTGGTCGACATTTGAGTAGATAAGAAAACCAAAATTTTACCTAAATTTTATAGATAGATTTGACCATACCTGAATACTCAAATATGGAGAAGCAACACCATATACTGTGACCGAGAAAACTTTAAAATATTTGAAGCGTCCGGGATAATATAATAATATAATATGACGGAGAGCCTGGTGCTATAGTGTTTTTAAAATGATGACGTCAACGCCATTCTCTTCTTCACTATCATTGTCTTTCATAGTGACAGCAATTAAGACTCCCTTTTCCAATGAACTCCATTTAGTACATTGCAAGTGTACAACGATAACAACAGAGAGCTCCGCCTCGTTCGGATGCTCGAGCCGAAATGCTTTGTACGACAATAGTCACTCGTATAATATAATTATAGAATAGTGAGGGTAGCTGAGTCACAAATTCTCTTGAATACCGACTTATACAGTTGTTGGCATGCGGAACATTAAGGAAATAGTTAACTTTAACAAATCTTAGTTAGTTATCTAGGTTAGTTAAATAGTGACGCTGCGCCGACATATAATAAAATTTTGTGGTCATTCAAATTATAAATATTCCCACAAAACTCGTTTTAAATTTAATTTTGCTGAACTCAGAAAAACAAGGTCGCCCACTTTAAAATAAAAGAATTGAATATATGTACACCCAACATTTTATTTATGTGATTAAAATAACACTTAATTATTAACAATATAGATTACTAATAGTATGGAGAGCCGCCGCATCCGCAGGTGGGTCCACATGCGCCAGAGATGGAGACAGAACCGACAGCGCAGGCAGGACCCGCGAACTCGACCGCGCCGATGACGGGCACCTGTCCCATTACAGCGGCGGAGCCGGCCACGGGGAGCTCGCCAGCCACGGCCACGTTACCGATGCCGGAGCCGCCGTACCCTCCACAGCCGCCGTACCCGACAGGGCCGTACCCAGGTCCACCGAGGGGTCCGCCATATGGACCTAAAGGAGGTCCACCGGGACCCACACGACCCAGGCACTGGCTGTACACATTCTAGAAAACAGAGTTAGATACATTGTTTTATTTAGATTGGAAGTGACAGTAGTAGGTAGCCGCTTCGCTGTGCCCTTGGGAATGCTGAGGTTCATGACCAATGAGATAGGCCATATAGTCATCAGTCTACATAAATGTTTAGAATACATTATCTTGTCTTGATAAAATTTACAAAACTGTCTCAGTATGGAATAAACCTTTGGGAGAGTTAGACTAAATATTAGACTCAGATACCTTTATTATAAATGGCCAGGGTTTTTAGGATTTTGATTGAAATGTCGCGAGCACGAGCTAAGGCAATAATTAAAAACAAAAGTGGACCTTAAAACTCCAGAAACCAAGTCTGATATCACTTTGACGCTAGATGGACACCATAACGTAAATACCGCACTCTACTCTAAGATCGAAATATCTACTGTATTTGTAAATATATGTATCTTTTTTAAGATTGAAGGAATACTGGTGGCCCGGTGGCCTTTCCAGTTTCACCAGGAGAGGTGGGCGAGCAAAGGCTCAGCCAGGAGGAGTGGGATTTGCTAACAGCTGCCCGAGCGCCTCCAAAGGAGACCTGACAACTCAAGAGCAGCTGCTTCGCGAATGAATCTACTATCGGATCGGAATCGCGAACATCTAAGAAGATCCGGCGAGAAACAACGGGCTTTTTATAAATTGGGACAAGCAGTTGCTGAATTAGGAGCTTGGTAAACTCTATCTCCTGAATATATCTCTTCAGACTTTTATCATATATAAAGCACATCAGATAGCTTCTGTCTCCAACGAAAAGTCTCGCTTTAGAAAAATCTAAAACTGTTATTGTGATTGTATAGTACTCACTTGGATTAGACAAGCTTGAAAGCAGAATAAGAAGAAGCAGAAGAAAGAGGAAGACATATTGTTTCTAACAACAGCAAAGTGCGAACTTAAAGTATTTCTAATTCGCATCAGACACTCTTTTATACTTTAAAACAAGCAATTTTCATCATTTGTATTTGTAACATTTATTACGTGACAGTTCGATGATAGCTATCGCTTTGAAGATTCCCCAACAATAATTGCCAAATTTCCATATTAATCGGTTTAATTATCGCAAAGTCTGGTCGGTCACGTATTTTCGACTTAGACCACTGTTTCACCCATTATCAGATAACGGTTTTGTATAAATAGGAAGGTTGTTGGCTGAAGAGACATTCAAGGACTGGCGTTTTGAGGAGAGCGAACTAACAAAGCAAAATGTCTAGCAACGTTATTGTTCTGTGTGTTTCTGCACTCTTCATTCAGGTATGGATTTGAATTCGCTGTCTTAATCAGTCGCAAAACGTTCTGAGCTCTGATTTAGATTTAAATTCTAAGGACGTACCTTCGACAACAGTAGGTAACAGGTAGCGGACGCACAGTCATAAATATATTCTAGATACAAAAACCTATTTGATAAAATTTGATTTTTTACTGGTGGTAGGACCTCTTGTGAGTCCGCACGGGTAGGCACCACTGCCCCGCCTATTTCTGCCGTGAAGCAATAATGCGTTTCGGTTTGAAGGGTGGGGCAGCCGTTGTAACTATACTTAGATCTTAAAACTTATTTCTCAAGGTGGGTGGCGCATTTACGTTGTAGATGTCTATGGGCTCCAGTAACTACTTAACACTAGGTGGGCTGTGAGCTCATCCACCCATCTAAGCAACAACAAAAAAACGAACAAATAATAGTAATATAATTTGTGGTACTAATTTTTGGTGTTGTTTTACTTACAGTGTGCTGTAAGCCAATGCGTTGGTCGGATTGGTTCTCTGCGTGGTGGTCCCTTCGATGGCTGGGGCTACGATGGTCTGGGCTATGATGGCTTCGGTATTGGCGGCTGGAACGGCCGCGGCTGTGGTGGTCTAGGCGATGACATAGCCGCTGCTGCGGCGCTGGGAGCCTCTCACGGGGGCACGCTCGCGGTCGTCTCAACCTCTGCCGCTCCTACCGGTCTGGGCATAGCGTCTGAGAATGTTTACGAAGGTTCAGTCGGTGTCTGCGGTAACCTGCCCTTCCTTGGTACTGCTGATGTTGCCGGCGAGTTCCCAACAGCTGGGCTTGGCGGCATCGATTATACTTGCGGCGATGGCGCAGTTGGCATTACTGTCGAGAATGCCATTAATGGCATCTCTAATGTTGGGTACGGACTAGCTCCTGGCATAGTTGGACCTGCTGTAGCTGCTCCTGCCCTCGGCTACGGACCTGGAATCTCTTCTCTTGGCTACAACACCGCTGGTCGCGGCTGCGGGTGTGGGGCTAATTACTATTAATGATATTATAAATTAAATGATTTTTAATTAATCATGAGGAAATAAACGAAATGAGTTATATATATACAATTGGTTTTCTTTTTCTTGCTGTCCCTGCAAAACGAATATTATGCAACAGTTTTAAATTAAAATAATAATCTTCTTCTTCTCCTTTTTCTCCACCATATCTCACTAGGTGGGGTCGGCACAGCTAATTTTTCTGTTCCATTCTCTTCCATCAGTTGTCATCTCAACACTCACTCTTCTCTCTCTCTCTCTCTCTCTCTCTCTCTCTCATATCGTCATTCACACACTCCATCCATGTCTTCTTCGGTCGACCTCTTTCCCCTCTACCTTGCTCTACCATTTTCATCACATCTCCTAGTCACATGCATCTTTTTTCTACGTATCACATGTCCATACCACGCTAACCGTCCCCTCTTTAATTTGTTGATTACCGGGGCTACTTTCACACCTCCTCTGTTAAACTTATTCTTTATATTATCTTGTCCATTCTTGTCACTCCACACATCCATCTCAACATTCGCATCACTGCAAATTAAAATAGTCTATATATTAATACGTGAAGCAAAAAGTTTGTACCCCTTTTTACGAAAATTGCGCGAACGGAGGAGTACGAAATTTCCCACACTAATAGAGAAGGAGTGCAGAATGTAAATATTGTTTTTTTTAATTATGCATAAAAATACATTAAATCAAAACATTAAAACACACTACCATGTATTTGACACACACACGCATGAATACAATGACTATTGTCAAACTTTTCTTATTGCTTATAGTCTGTGGTCAAATTGAGAATAGATTAAATAATTTTACCTTTATTAATATTTGTATAAAGTGTAGTCTTGGCGAAATCTGTGATAATAGAAGCAAGAGTTTAATAGTCTTTGACTGTTTGACAATCTATATATTAATACGTGAAGCAAAAACTTTGTATCCCTTTTTACGAAAATTGCGCGAACGGAGGAGTATGAAATTTTCCACACTTATAGAGAATATAGAGAAGAAATGCACAATGCTAATTTTTTTTTAATAATGCATAAAAGATACATTAAATCAATAAAGAAAACATTACACACACTACATACCATATATTTGACGCACACACGCATGCATCCTATTTATTGTCAAACTTTTGTTCTTGACGTCTGTTGTCAAATTGAGATTAAATATTGTTAGTCTTTGTTAATATTTTTTATAGTGTAGTCTTGGCGAAATCTGTGATTACAGAATTACGAGTTTAAAATAGTCTTTGACTGTTTGATGATTATATAGAATCATAATAGTGTACAAAACTTATAATTTTAATTAATTAAATTCGAATTAATTTTTAATTTTTAGCCGACTAACCTAATAGGTGTATGGCTCTAATAAAGAATAAAAAAAATAAAAATAAAAAAATCGAATTTCGACTGCTGTGGGGCCACTAGTAATAATAATAATATGAAAATATGGCGAAACTAGAAGATATCGAGAGATGTGGTGGCTATCCATGTCGGTTTTCCATACGTCCTACTACCAGTAATATTTATTTTATTGCCTTTGTAGGCAGTCGAGTGACAGGTAAGATACCACCGAAGGATCAAAAAGGACCTTTTTTTATTGCTTAGATGGGTGGACGAGCTCACATCCCACCTGGTGTTAAGTAGTTACTGGAGTCCATAGACATCTACGACGTAAATGCCCCACCCACCTTGAGATATCAGTTCTAAGATCTCAGTAAAGTTACAATGGCTGCCTCACCCTTCAAACCGAAACGTATTACTGCTTCACGGCAGAAATAGGCAGGGTGGATTCAGATGAGGTCCTACCTCCAGCTATAGAGACAATGTGAAGAAGATGGCGAGGATGAATGAGGGAGCGGCCTAAAAATGAGATGTCAATTAATTGTTAGTTTTAATAAGAGAGAAGATTTGATTTGAGTACAATAAAACTACAATCCACTGAGTCAGTTTTTTTATTTTTTTATTATCCTTGTAGGTAGACGAGCGTACAGCCCACCTGATGGTGATTGGTTACCGTCGCCCATGGACTTCAGCAATGCCAGGGACAGAGCCAAGCCGCTGCCTACCGTTATGTACTCTCCACAAGCCTCGTTTGTAGAAGGACATGACATAGCGCTCGACTATGCTACCACAAATTAAGGATGATGTATACGCTAAGTAAAGCAAAGAAAAAAGTATATATTATAATACATGGACAAAGTAAAAATCAAAAGGTTAGCTTAAAAAAAAAGAAATTATGTGGTGTCGTGGGACACCAGGTAGGAAGGAAGTTCCTTCGGTTAATGTAAAATCGACACAAATTGCAAAAAAAATCGTGCTCAATTTTATGTAGGTTTTCTTGATTTTTCTCTTAAATTTTGCTGATTAGTTTTTATTTAAGTACAAGAAAGTATTTAGGAAATTCAGTATTTTAGGAAATAATAAATTACTTAACATAAAAAAAACAACGTAATTCAAATTATCAACTAAAATAACAAAATATGTCTCTTTATTTTTGTTTGACAACATAAAATTACATAGAAATAGAAAAATAGAAATAATAATAGAAAGAGAATGGATGAGAGAACGAAAAGAAAGAGGGAGAAAGAGAAAGGTATTATACACTACTCGCTTGTGTATGCGACTGTCGCGCCTGCGCACGTCTCATTTAACGGTTNAAAGAGAAAGGTATTATACACTACTCGCTTGTGTATGCGACTGTCGCGCCTGCGCACGTCTCATTTAACGGTTTTATTCCACGCACTTTTTTCCACGGATTTTTTCTTACGGTTTTACTATCACATTTTTTTCAGTTCGGTCGCGCAGCAAAATCCCTATCCCCTCCAAGCCTGCCGTAAGGAACTTCGTTCCAAAAACCAAGAAAAATGAGGAAAGAGTAAAACAGGATCTGAAAATAAAATTACACAATCATTAACAGAAAACTATTAGAAAAATTGTTGATAGAATAGTCACTAAAATTTCATTCACAATATTTTTGTTTTCCCTGTTTCATTGTTGGAAGTCTGCGGGTATATTTCAACTACGCGCAGATGTGTAGGTGAGCTCACGGATTCAGAATTAGCGAGCTTGCTAACACTAGCCCGGGCAAGATCTCTATTTCGTTCGAATCTACCACCGAATCAGAATCGCGATCCAATGAGAAGATCCAGCGAGAAACTCAGTGGGTTAGGAAGTCACTGGGTTTGCGTTTACTTACGTTGCTTATGTCAATGCTGTCCCCACTAACTATACTGAGACCTTACAACTTATATCTCAAGGTGGATGGCGCGTTTACGTTGTAGATGTCTATGGACTCCAGTAACCACTTAACACCAGGTGGGCTGCGAGCTCGTCCAACCATCTAAGCAATAAAAAATAAATAAAAAAAAAAAAACAAATTTCACGCTAAAGTCGGACCGTTGTAAGACGACATTTGTGATGGTACGAACTAATTTTATTTAAAGGCGTCGTGGCCTAAAGGGTAAGACGTCCGGTGCATTCGTATCCAGCGATGTAACGGTGTTCGAATCCAGCAGGCGGGTACCAACTTTTCTGATGGAATACGTACTCAACTGCCTGTTTCAGCCGTGAGGCAGTAAATTACTGCCGCATTCGGTTTGAAGGGTGGGACAGCCGTTGTAGCTATACTGAGACCTTAGAACTTATATCTCAAGGTGGGTGGCGCATTAACGATGATGTTGATAACGTACATGTCTATGGGCTTCAGTAACCACTTAACACCAGGTGGGCTGTGAGCTCGTCCAGCCAATGAATAAAAATAAAATATCTTAAAAACTAGACAGTAAAAGTCGCAAATTTTTATATTTTCCGTACAAATTATCAAATTTTATAAATTTTAAAATGAAGATCTCAAATTGATAAAAATTACTGATTCCCTGATCTTGGCTTGATCCGAACGGTATTGTTACGCGCTGGGGTTCGAGATAAATAAAAGTTCCACCAAAGTAAAATTTAAAACTCTAAATAGAGTTAAGTGTTAAATAACACTTAAAGCACTTACAGAGCACTTAACAATCGTAATTCGCTTCTTCCACTTCGCTTCGCTGTTTCGCTTCGAATAGTTCCGATTACAAACTGACTTTGTGCTATCTCTGCAACGCTTTTATAGTCGATACGACATCCCTAGATTTATCCAGAACATTCTGGGAATGTCGAGTAGCTTCAATGTGTGTTGTCGCTATCTGACAATAGATGGCGTTGTACTTCTCGAGTGTTCTCGATGTTATTAGTTCGTTATATTCGTTTCTGCTATTCTACGATAGATGGCGTTACCTTTACCGGTGTAACATTAACATGAAATAATGATTATTTCCTACAATTTAATAGGTTGCGGTGTGGTAGATGTCAGATCATATCAGCCGAGCCCGCTTGAACTAAACAAAAAGTAAGAGAATCTAATCTAGTCTTAGAAATGCGCTCGGGTAGACATCACAAGTCTTCCTATTACTGCCACAAAGCATTCCCGCATTCCAGTTTGAAACCTGTAATATTTTTTATACAAATTTTTCAAATCATATTCCGTGGTCACTATGAAGAAAGACCCTTTTATTTGACGCCCCTAGTCTGCAGAGCATCCCTGCAATCTTCCGGAATTTAAAGGGTCATTATTTCCAGCTGTGGTCAGCAATAGAGTAATTTAGAGGAACTTTATCTATAGTACGCTAGGCTAACCACTGGGTCGTAAGGCGTTCAACGAGTTTGTGAACGCTTTGAAATAAGGTGCTTAGAGTTCGGTAGAGTATAGTAGTATAGTAAGGTGCTTAGAGTTCAGTAGAGTATAGTAGTATAGTAGTATAGTAAGGTGCTTAGAGTTCAGTAGAGTATAGTAGTTTTTTTTTTTTCGGAATTTGTGGCACAAAATGACAAAAATATAGACATGTCAGTGTCTCCAAGCTGTATGAACTCTCAACACTCTTGAAATCGCATTCCGACTTCGGTTTTCTCTACGACTCAGCGAAGTTGTTAAAGTACATTTTACAAAAACGATCTAATTTGTAATCTCTTGCGTGTAATCGTAAAGTTGTTTTTCGTTTACAATAATTTCGTGTAATGGATTTACGGAAATTGTGAAATTTAGCGATAAAATCCACTGAAAACTCGTGTCCGCGCAATATAATATGTGTTATTGCTAAAGAACTATGTAATTGTGTAATCTAAAATATTAAAATTTCAGTAAGTCACAGTTAAGGTTAGTTTATCGAATAATTACTGATAATAGAATATAAGGCTTACGCCAACAACTTATCTGTATGATGCCATAATTTCAATTAACTTTCCGTATATAAGACGTAATTCTTTATTTCAAATTTATTCCTTTTAATAAGAGCTCGAAATGGCCTTACGAACTGCACTTTTTTGCTTTTCTGCGCTCTTAGTACAAGTAAGTAGTTACAATTTTAAAAAGGTGGATGAGCTCACGGCATACCTGGTGTTAAGTGGTTATCGGAGCCCATAAACATCTACAAGGTAGAACTCCGTCACCTACCTTGAGATATAAGTTCTAAGGTCTCAGTATAGTTACAACGGCTGCCCTACCCTTCAAACCCAAACGCATTACTGCTTCACTTTAGAAATGGCAGAATGCTGGTTCCTACACATGCGGACTCACAAGACGTCCCAACACCCGTGATTCCTACCATCCCACCTAATTTGCTTTTGTTTTATTTCAGAAAGTCCACAGTCAGTGCTTAGGTCGTGGAGCAGCCGGGCCGTATCCCCCTTACGGCCCCGGCTGGGGGGCTTATGATGCCGTAGGATACGACGGGTACGCTCCGGGAGGATTCATAGGCCTTGCCCCCGGAAACCTGGCGGCGTCCTGTGGCGGAGGTCTCGCTGTAACCAGTACATCACCAATAACTCCCACCGGTCTCACGGTGAATTCGGAAAACTCCATCGAAGGCACCGTCACGATAGTCGGTCAGCTACCATTCTTGGGTGCCGTTGCTACTGATGGAGTATTCTCGTCCGCTGGCGGCGGGACGGTCGTGTACGGATGCGGTGATGGTGCGATCGGCATTACCAACGAAATGCCTATATCGGCGCCTATTGTGGGTCCAGGCTATGGTCCAGTCGGCAGACCTTACCCTGGATTCAAGGGAATAGGGCCTTGTTAAGCATTGTTATAATTGTTATTATGATAAGTATATAAATATGATAATTAATTTATTGTTTCTGTCTTTACCTCTCCTATATTTAAGGCTTGATGGCATGAAAGTTTTTTTTATTTATTGCCCTTGTAGGTAGACGAGCATACGGCCAACCTGATGGTGAGTGGTTACCGTTGCCCATGGACTTCGGTAATGCCAGGGGCAGAGTCAAGCCGCTGCCTACCGCCAAAAGTTACTACTAAAAGTTACTTGAACTACTTAAAATAGTTAGATTTTTAATAAAGTTTTTAAAGTTAAGCATAAGCTCAGAAAAAAAGTTATGTTACGCACTATTGTATCGAAGGGTGAAAAGCTCTTTCGTTTACGCCACATTTGCGTCAGATTAAAATTTGAAAAAATATTGTTACCGAGTCCAGGCAACCCCCGACCGAGAGCCAGCGCTAAAACTATAAAAACGATCCCTTGCTGCGCCTTTGCCTCTTTTTTGTGCGTGGCGTTCGTGTATACGGTTCGTGTTGAAACATGTTTGGGACTTGTGTAATTTTTCGTGAATAGTAGATTGAAATCATTTTGTTAGAAGTATTGATTAATTCAGTGAAATATAATTAGGCCAGTTCTGTGTAATTTATTTCTTATTTAACTACCTCACTTCTGATCGATAATAATATCATATCAAAAATGTTCTTCAGGTATTTGATTGGGGCAAACTTAATTGGAGTTTGATTAAAAGCACCGAACTGATGATACTAATCTATATATTAATACGTGAAGCAAAAACTTTGTATCCCTTTTTACGAAAATTGCGCCGACGGAGGAGTATGAAATTTTCCACACTTATAGAGAATATAGAGAAGAAGTGCACAATGCTTATATTTTTTTTAAATAGTGCATAAAAGATACATTAAATCAATAAAGAAAACATTACACACACTACATACCATGTATTTGACGCACACACGCATGCATACTATTTATTGTCAAACCTTTGTTCTTGACGTCTGTTGTCAAATTGAGAATAGATTAAATATTGTTTGTCTTTATTAATATTTTTTATGGAGTAGCCTTGGCGAAATTTGTGATTATAGAAGTATAAAATACAATTATAATAGTGTACAAACTTACAATGCCAATTAATTATAGTCGAATTTCGACTACTGCGGGACCTCTAGTACCATAGTAAAACGCAGTTTTAACAAATATAAATGTCGCGTATGAAGCGAAAAGACGCTCAAACCACAAACCCCGTCACTCCTCGATATTTAAGAAAAATTTTAAACTTTAATTTCCCGTTCAGCATTGATATAATGTTACATTTGACGTTTCTGTACTTTATAGTTTTCGTGGTCACGGAAGACCGAGAGAGAGAGAGAGGTTTTTTTTATTGCTTGGATGGGTGGACGAGCTCACAGCCCACCTGGTGTCAAGTGGTTACTGGAGCCCATAGACATCTACAAGGTAAATGCGCCACCAACCTTGAGCGGTAGGCAGCGGCTTGGCTCTGCCCCTGGCATTGCTGAATTCCATGGACGACGGTAACGGTAACGGGCCTACGAGGGCAATAAAAAAAAAAGATATAAGTTCTAAGGTCTCAGTATAGTTACAACGGCTGCCCCACCCTTCAAACCGAAACGCATTACTGCTTCACGGCAGAAATAGGTGGGGTGGTGGTACCTACCCGTGCGAACTCACAAGAGGTCCTATCACCAGTAAATAATTACGCAAATTATATTTTTTGCGCGATCCCTGCGTGGAAATCCTGCGTGGAAGTGGTCCTCCATCATGCAAGTTATTCGTGGACTCGAATTAAGGATGTGTTTGATTGGTCTTACTAGACTGTCGCGTTGGTCGTTACGACTACCTTAGGCTTCTTATGCTTTAGACTTCGCATTATGACCTCGAGGGGTCATAGATTCGCCGAACAACTAGGCGAGCTCACAGGGCTGGGACTTTGCTAACACAAGCCCTAGCAAGAGAGTGCTTGGCAGAATCTAGCACCAGAATGAAAACACGGCTCACTGAGACGATTCGGCGAGAAACTTTGTGGGTTAGCAGTATGATAGACTCAAAATTTAGCACATATACAAATAATATTGTTACGCGCTGGGGTTCGGGATAAATAAAATTCTACCGAATTACAAGTTAACACTGTATTCAACACTTAGAACACACACAGAACACTTTAAAATTCTCAATTCGCTTCGCTTCAGGTGATCCGTTCGCTGTTTCGCTTCGAGTAGTTCCGATTACTAACTGACCGCGTGCCATCTCTGCAACGCTTTTATAGTCGAGATGAAATCCCTAGAATCGTTGAGAACATTCCACAAAAGTCTAGCATTGTGTATTTCCGCTATCTGACAATAGATGGCGTTGTACTTCTCGAACGTTCTAGATGCTACTGGATCCTTCGATATTCGTTCGACTGTTCGGCGATAGATGGCGTTACTCTTACCGGCGTAACAATATTCATCGTTTGAAAACTTACTTCACGATCCCCTCAAAAATCACTTTTACCTTAAAATCTTAGTGAAGTTAGGTGAGATATGTTCACATTCAGTAGCTATGATCCAAAGATGACTACGTTCATCAATCACTGGAGCTGAAGCGAATTTTGGTTAACCGCTATCCCGTCCTTAATCATGAAGTTTTCATAATAATATGCTCCCACCAAAGTCTTAGATGGACCTTTGGACCATCTAGTTACCACAACAATTTCCCTACTATTTATTTGAATAATAAGCACACTAGCGTATTGCGTGCTTGATTATGTAAGATTGTAACTATACTGAGACCTTAGAACTTATATCTCAAGGTGGATGGCGCGTTTACGTTGTAGACTATTAAAGAACATCTGTGCAATAAAGCTTACTATAAAGTCTTATCTAGAAGATTGCACAAAGTGGGAATGAGTTGCTCGCTCCTGGCATTTCAATATTGTAGTAATTGTTACGTTATATTACTCATTGTAAAAAATTCATATTTAAAAAAAAAACTAATATTAAAAAATAAATAAATAATAATTTTATATGTAAAAAAAAAAAAATGGCCGCTGAGTTTCTTGCCAATTCTTCTCAGGACGGAGGCTAGTTCTTGTGAATTGGCGGTAGTTTTTTTGACGTTCAACAAGTATGTACTTTCATTTATGTTGAATAAAATTTTTTGATTTAAAATTTTTTTTGATTGCATTTGATTTGATTTGATGTCTATGGCTCCAGTAAGCACTTTATATCACGTGGGCTCGTTCACTGAGACATGAGTTCTAATGTCTCCGTTTTTACAGTACAACGGCTGCCCCGCCTTTCAAATCGAAACGCATTACTGCTTCACGGCAGAAATAGGCAGGGTGGTGGTACCTACCCGCGCGGACTCACAAGAGGTCCTACCATCAGTAAAAACCGTCGAAAAGTCATTAGTGCAAGCGTTTCACCATTATTATCTGATAGCATGCGTTGACTAATAAAATTTCAATTATCACGTAATAAGTGCGTATTGCGTGCCTGATTATGTAAATTTAATGATAACGCATTAATTTTCCATATATTAATGCTTGACAAACCCGAAGACAGCATAGTTCAGATCCAATTGGAACAATGGCCTTTAAATCACTCCTCATCTGTGCCTCGGCACTATTCTTCCAGGTATTTTCTTTCTTTAATTTTATGGAATGTTTCATGTTTTTTACCGGTGGTGGGAGCTCATGTGAGTCCGCATGGGTAGGTGCCACCACCCCGCCTATTTCTGCCGTGAAGCAGTAATGCGTTTCGGCTTGAAGGGCGGGGCAGCCGTTGTAACTATACTGAGATCTTAGAACTTATATCTCAAGGTGGGTGGCACATTTACGTTGAAGATGTCTATGGGCTCCAGTAACCACTTAACACCAGAGGGGCTGTGAGCTCGTCTACCTATCTAAGCAATAAAAAAAATAGTTTTAAGGATGTCTCGTGTATATTTTTTTTAATATACAGCAAATTACTTAGGAAATGATTATAAATGTTATGTAGAAGGATTAGAAAATCAAGTTGCAGATACCATCTAAAGGTAGGTTGTCTCACTTCAATGTTCATGCTATCCCTTTCGTTTTTTATTTTATTCACATCTAAGCGTATTGCATTTTAATTATTTTGAGTATGTAATTAAGTGAAAATTATTTTGTCCGCAGTCTGCTGTCAGTCAATATCTGAGCCGCGTTGGTGGCTGTGGTTGTGGAGGCGTTGGCAACACTTTGGGGTACGGTGGTATCGGCTACAACGGCTATGTCGGTAACGATATCGGCGCTGCTGGAGCTCTAGGAGCTTCCAATGGAGGGTGCCTCAACGTCGTCAGCTCCTCTGCCGCTCCTACTAGTCTAGGTGTAGCCTCTGAGAACTCTTACGAGGGAACTGTCGGTGTCTGCGGGAATCTGCCCCTCCTGGGTACTGCAATCGTCACCGGCGAGTTCCCTACTGGCGGCCTTGGTGGTATTAACTACGGCTGCGGTAATGGCGCCGTTGGGATCATCGCTGAAGATCGCGCCGGTATCGGCTACGCCGGCGGCCTCGGCTACGGATCTGGCTACGGACTCGGCTACGGGGGCTACGCCGGCAATGGATGTGGATGCGGTGGCGCCTATTGAATGCTAGAATATATATAAAATAACACGTTTTTTTTAATAAATTCTTTTAAAAAAATATACTTAATGGATTTTAATAATATTAGTGATTTAAGATCAAATACTTTTTATTTTAGATTCTTTGACATAAATGGAAAACAATATTATTTAATTGCTAGGATCTACAGAATTAGCTTGCTTAGTTTTCGGAAATTCACTTAAAGTTTCAAAGGTCGCGAATGGGGCAACCAGGGTCTTGAAACTAAAATACTTTAAGATTGTAGCAAAGGACCCCTAACTTGTATGTTGTTAAAGCTAAGGTATTTAATTAAATAATAAAGGTAAATAATTAATATTAAAAAAAATCTAATATTAAAAAAAAAAGAGTTTCTTGCCAATTCTTCTCAGGACGGAGGCTAGT